GCTCCGCGCATCGCAAGCTGCCTGAGAGCGACTCCTCCAATGCAGGGGAGGAGAGGGCTTTTTCTTGGCCGGGGACAAAAAAAACTCTGAAATCTGATTTTTCTGGCCCAAACTCCCAAGTCCTGAGCTACAGCAAGACCCAGCTTTGCTTTGCTCCAGCTCTCCCCAGCTGTCCCCCGTTGCTGGGCTGGTCCCCAGGAGAAGGGGACACTCATCCTGGATGGGGAAGAAGCTGATGCCTGTCCTGGGCTGACTCTTCCAGCTCCGATGGGTGCAGGGCAGGGCAGGACAACCGACCAAGGAGTGGATAAGTGGGGTATAAGGTGGAGAAGCCTCATGTGAATTAACTCTGCTCCTGTGATTATTCCAGTCCCAGCAAGCAGGTTTTTTCGCTGGAAAGCAATCTAATTCCAGCTGTAAGCAAAGCCAGTTACAGTGCAGGGACTAAAACCAAATTAAATCTTGTGTATGGCTCAACAAGGGGTGGGTTATTGAGAGGAAGAGAAGAGAAATCAATGTGAGCCTGACAGGAGCGCTGCGCGGGGAAGGGGGGAGGCAGGGCAGGCAGGGCTGGGGATGGACGCAAGCTGCCTCTTCCAGGGTGTGGGAACGATCACATTCGAGGAACAGGAGGAAAGTGCCTAGATAAAATGGGGGTGGGCATTAGGGAGTGACTACAGGGGTCATGGAAATGAGAGGGAAGGTGATTATGAAGAAATGAAGGCTCAAAGGGAAAAAGCAGCCAGAAAATCCCAGCAGGAGGGCAGAGGAGCGGGTGACTTAGAGATGTGAGCAGCCCCAGGCGGACGGAGGAGCATGCTCAGCCGCGGTGTGTGCCATCAGAGGAGCAGTGCGTGGCATCGCCTGTGCCCCTGTACGGCACCAGGATTTTGGCAGGCAGCTGGTAGTGCCCGCAGGGCGATGAGACACATGGCAGCTCCTTTCCAGTTGATGTTCGCGGTCAAGGGAAAAGCAAAACGCTTTGCCCTCAGAGCAGACCATGAGCCTGGGTGGTTTCTCATGCCGCAGCCTTAGCTGGTGGATTCAGAGAGGTTTCTCTGATGCCCCTGGGCCACATGCTCCTGGACCCCCATCCAGGCGCACCCCATCCTTCACCGCTCTGCTTCCCACCAAGGAAAACCCCTCACCACCATCTCCCAGAGCTTTTGGGAAAAGCAGAAAGAGACGGAGCAAGGGATATGGGGAGAAGGGGAAGGAGTTTGCTGCGTTCTCTCCTTCTGTGGGCCAGATGGACAGGGGTGGTCAGGAGTTTGCCAGGATCTCCAGAGGGTCTGGTGAATGCGGAGGGTCACTGCAATGAGCTGGTGCTTCAGGCGCTCCTCTGCCTGCTTCATCTGCATCTCCTCCTCCCACAACCTCAGCCAGGTCCATTTCTCCGTTCATGGCTGACAGTTTATTTTTACTCTCTTTCTTCTTCTTGGTATCTTTTTCTTTTCTTTTTTTTTCTTCTTCCATCCTGTCCCTATTGATCTGCAGGGTAACTGGAGATGCAGGGGAGTCAAGACAGGAATAGACACGAGCAAGCCCTGGGCCTGTGTGCTTGTGTGTGTGCCAGGCAGGGTGGGGAAGGGAAGCGGAAAGACTTTTCCCTGCAGATCTCTATTCACCGCTTAGTTTTCTCCTCGGTGCAGCAATGAGCTCGGTCATCTTCTCGGCAATGGGTGAATGAGCTTTTCCTGGCTGCTGGCACAATGAAAGCCGCCGGTTCTCTTTCCATTACACACCGTGTCTCTTTGGAGTAATTTTTTCCCCTTCATAACGTCAGTCACCGCAGTGCTCGGCGGGGCACGCTCCATCACAGAGACATTAATAAGCCATAATTGAAGTTAATGTGCCATGGCCAGGACATGTGGATCCAGTTAGGAGAAATCAGATTGAGCAGAAGTGAATCAATTTTAGGCTGATTATTAAGATTTCTCTCCTTCGTCATCCCCTGCCCCAGTGCATGCTCTGTCTGTCTGTCCATCCTGCCGGTGGTGAGCAGTCCCCGGAGGAAGGCAGGAGGGGGGAGCGTTACTCATCACCAAGCAGCTCCATATAACAGTGCCTCATCTCGGGCTTTGCTCAGGCCAAAGAGCCGCCAACAAGAAGATGAGGTTTCCAGTTTTGTAACGGCATTTCCTTTCCTCTCTTCACCAATTGCTTTTCTGAGGGTTTCCTTGGCTTCTCTTTTGCTCACACAAAAGAATTGAAAGGAAAGGTCCTCTACCTTCCCCTGCTTTGATCCCTGCCTTCCCCTTATGCGGTTCTCGGTGACGTGCGCGGATGCTCGCCGGGAGGCTTTGCTCTCCGGATGACTTGGAGTGGTGAGTTTGCACTAGCGGAGCAGAACGAATTCGCCCAGCCTGTTATCCTGGCGCCAACAGACAGGATCAGGCGCTCCAGACTTGGAGGATCAAGGCCACGCCCCAGAGCACCTCCTCCAATAAATCAGGCTGGTTAATCGTCAGTGGTACCCACGTGCAGGGGATACTCTTTTCTGCCTTCTTGATGACTCTCAAGATGAGGTGACGCTCCATGCGGTATTGCTGTTAAAGGTGAAGCAATTCCTGCTCAGCCCAGTGGCTGCCTCCTGCTTCTGTCCTCCAGGCCAGCGCAATGACGGCAGCTCAGCGCGCTTCCCCCTGCGATTGTAGCTCAGCTCAAACCCGGGGTGTCAGCACAAAGCGCGTCCCGGCT